GACCCTTATAACACGTCGCTAATTTGGTAAGGAGTTAGCTTTTCGGGTTAAATTCTATCTAAAAACTCTATTATAATACCAAAGTCATTGGCAATCATAGTTTTGGAACATGGTCATGCACGTCTAACGTGAGTAAGAGTGTTAAAAATTGTATTTGACTCACTTGATTTTGTTAACCATGGTCATGTTCCCTCCACATTAGAGTTAGCTTTTGAGAATAAGTTATATAAGAAGTAAGTCTCATTAACTTGGTCAATTGGGAGGCCCTTATAACATGTCGCTAATTTGGTAAGGAGTTAGCTTTTCGGGTTAAATTCTATCCAAAAACTCTATTATAATACCAAATTCATTGGTAATCATAGTTTTGGAACATGGTCATGCACGTCTAGCGTGAGTAAGGGTGTTAAAAATTATATTTGACTCACTTGATTTTGTTAACCATGGTCATGTTCCCTCCACATTGGAGTTAGCTTTTAAGAATAAGTTTGACCCGTTCACATCGTCAATTTAATAGATTATTATAGTTTGTGTATATATATATAATTGGGAGCTTGAGTTCTACCCAATCCATTTCATCAAATTACAAGAAAAAAAACAAAACATTATTAGTTGGTGGTTTAGGGCAGCTAGTTTTCACATGCTAAATCATTCCAAATTCCTTGGCTCAATCGATATTACTCTTGAAAAAACAAAAAATTAACGAATCTAAATTCAAAACTGAACTTCTCCAATCGTATTAAAAAAATGATATCTATAAGGGAATTTGATTATCATAAGGTTGAACATCTTAACTATGATTCAATGTATCTAATAATTTTGCAATATTTGTCTTGTATTAGATTATTTAAATAAAACAAAACCATTTATGAGTATTACGAGGTAAAATTTAAAAATTAGTAAAAAAAACTTCATAGGTTTGCTAATTTAACTAAACACCCCAATATATAGAAATTTTGTAAAATGACAAAAATACCCCCATCCACCACAGCGCCAAATTCTGGCCACCACTATCGGAATCTAGTTGAAATCTGCCGTTACAACGTAGACCGGTCGGATCTGACCGATAGTGTGTTGATCTGGCCGAAAAGGCCAAATCGATGAATAAACGGCCAGTTCCTATCATTTTTAGGCCATTGTGATAGATTTCGACCACAACCGACGGTGGTTGCCGGAATGTGGCAACTGTGGGTGGATGGGGTTGTTTTTGTTAATTTTTAAACTTTTTTTTGGGGGTGTTTAATTAGGTTAATAAACTTAAAGGGTCTAAAAATAACTAAAAAAATATATTAGTATTTTCCAAATATTTAAACAAATGGTTATTTTGGGAATAGGGTTTGAAATAATGAAACAAAGGGACCCTTCAATTCATCGATCAGTTAACACCAGAAATGCAAGAATTTCCACTAGCTTTGTTGAGCAGATCAGGCAAGAATTCTCTTGAGCTCCCTGTTGTAAATGCATGGTCGTTCTAGGTTAACAAGATGACCTGCCTTCTCTATTGCCTTCAATGTTGCTTTCTGTCCAACTTGTCTGTCAATTTAATTCAATGCTTGTCATTAGTTATTTGGTTGATGCTGATTCATTTTCATATTCGTATGGTCCCTCTATTTATTACAAGTCAACTGCTCAACTATCTCACTCCCAACTCAATATTTTTTTTTTTTTTTTTTTTTTTTAAAGAGCAATGCTACTCTTTCCAATTGAAATTCTAAATTTTTTATAACTGAGGTATCTGGACCAGCTTACATGCATCTCACTAATCTTCAGAAACCCTAGAACTACCAATCGGATAAGAACTCTAATGCCTAACCCTTTTAGCAATAGAGAAGGAACTATTTCACTCCCAACTCAATACTTTTTTTTTTTTTAAGAGTAATGCTACTCTTTCCAATTGAAATTCTAAATTTTATTTTATTTTATGACCAGGGGTATCTGGACCAACTTACCTGCACCTCACTCATCCTCCGAGACCCTGAAACTATCGATCGAATAAGAGCTTTAATGTCTAACCCTATTAGCAATAAAAAAAGAACTCGAATTCAAGATCTCTTAATTAACACATCCAAGAATCCTTATCGAGTCACTCGACGACTCAAAAATTTTAAATTTTCCATTCTAAATAATATGTCGGCTCATGTGGTGTTAGATATATCATTTAACACAACAACTTCTCATTTACACAACAAAACCATGTAAAAGAAGGTAATTAAATAGATTAAGTAAACTTACTGTTTAAGGTTCCGGGCAGTTTCCATATCGAAAATCAAATCATTTTCACCCCACAAGAGATATACCTTCTGCAATTAATCATCAAATATATGAACGTTTAATTAAAGAATTATGAGAACTTAATATTTCAAATTCTTATGATTTTTTTTTTTTCCAAACCCGGATCCCTAAATATCTTGAATCGAGATAGCTCAACTAATGCATACTGAATTTAAGCATTTACTAAATCAAGAACCTGTTGCATTAAACATTACGTCTACCGTTCTCCTATTCTATTAATATCTCGGCTTCAAATAAAATATTATCTTATAACAGAACATATAAGGCTTCGTTTTATTATATTTTTAAAATTAAATCGATATTCAAAGTGGGAACCATATGTTATCTCTTAAGTCTTATCGAAGTATGAAATCGATAAATATAGTTGACATTTCAACTAAGTTATTTACATTATTTAGCTTCATCTCAATCATTGAATTTAAATATTTTTTTTTTTCCACAGTGGCTTTAGGTATTTTGTCTTGGTTGACTTAGAATGTCGCGATTGATATATAAAATACATCAATGATGAAATCTCTATGCCAAAATTGATCAAAACCTAGCACCAAAGTCCAAATGAAATGGCCAAAAGATAAATAGTTAATATTAAGAGTAAACGACTTTTTCCCACCCAAGGTTTTTCTTAATAACACTTTCCCACCCGAAGTTTGTAATTTGTTAATATCCAAAGTACACTTTCTCAATTGGCATTCGATGACTTACCAGGAGTCAAGATAAAAGAGGTTTTATAAAGTGGAGGCTAGTGGATTGAATGGTTGTGATCAATTGAATATTATTCGTTGTAAATCAGCTAAGAACAAAAAACTTTAACTTTGCGGTGGCGGACAATCGGTAAGAAATCAGGTATTGCAGTGTGAGAAGTTTTATAGACAAGAGACTGGATGTTCAAATAGTGGTGACTAAGAGAATTTTTACTGCTAGAATCGGCTTTAGTTAGTAACCGAATATTAACTTTGGATTAGAAAGTTGTATTTTGAAACTTTTTGCGTGGGAAAGTATCATTAAGGCAAAACTTGGGTGGGAAAAAGTCGTTTACTCTTGATATTAATATTGCGTACCTGTGGATAATGAGGGATAGTAAATTCCCTATCACTTATAACCAGAGCCTCTAGAAGTTCAGTTTTCTCCTTTCTGTAGATAGAAATCGTCTGCCATTTCATAGTCAACACTCAAAACATTCAAATAACCACCATATTAGCTAAGCTACAACTTCAGAGTATGTAAATATGGAGATATCATCATATTTTGTGACAATAGATATTTGTATTAAAGAAAAAAGAGTACCTCCAAAATTTCTTTGTAAATGAATTGGGGAAGTATTGGCAGATTGTAAGTGGCGATGTCAAGAAGAGTCTTCGTACCGTCGGCCGTTTTAGGAAGCAAGTAATCCGGCCAGCTAGAGAAACCGATTCTCTGAAGCGCAGCATTGCTGACAGACTCCGTTAACGCCATGACTGAGCAAGTCACCACCATCGATTCAACCAAGTCAGGGTACATCTCAGCCATTTTGAACGCCACCATCCCGCCATAGCTGAGCCCAACCAAGGTGCACCTCTCCACGCCGAGTTTCCTCAGTCCCCTAGCCATACACTCACTTTGAAACTCCACTGTCCGCTCAGGTCGGTCCGTGAACGAGCCGCCAAAGAAGAGAAAATCCGGAACGTAGACTGCATGCGTTTTGGCCAAGGCTAGCACCTGAAATTGCCAAGTTAGAATACCATCGAACCCAAACCCGTGAAGAAACACCAGAGCTGGCTTGTTGTTAGTTGTATCTGTTGGAAGCCAGAAGTTCAAGACCGTCCCTGGCTCGATCTCGACTGCTTGAGTCGTCATCCCGACTAGTTTCAGTGCGCCATGCAAGAAGGTTTTGTATATCGACAAAAACCTTACCATTTTTCTATATGGAGTTAAAGAAAGATACGATAGTACTTTAATGGAGTAAAGGAATGTGAACGGTTCCTTGAAAAACTTGATGTAGTGTGTCTTTAAGAATTCAAGAACTGGAGAGCTGAGATTTGACTAGCCATAAGTAGAATCTCCATAAAATATTTTGACAGAAGAAATTCAAGTCGATTTCTATTATAATAAGAGAAATGCTAGGTGTAATCCCCATTCCCCCATAAATAATTCATCTCGGTTCGAAATATCTAACTTGAAGGACTTTATAAACGCGTTAAATAATATTTTAATTTTTTTAATAATGAGTGTTAGTTCAAAATTTATTAGTTTGCGTCACTAAGTCAAATATATCTATTAAAATTAAAATTAAAAAATTTTCTAAGTTGTATTAGCTGTCCTCTGATCTTGACATTTTATACTTGGCTTTTTACATTAGTTTAAGTTGGCTACAAGAATTTGGCGTAAGGTTTGAGAATACGTCGACTAATCTTTAAGAAAAACTATCCCACAGGCCACAGCAACGATCATCGCACAGCAACTATCATCGCAAACTCTTAGATAAATCATGAATAAAAGTATTACCTTCACACTCAACTGGGAATCGAACCTGGTAATGGGTGTTTTTTTTCTTTAATATATTTTTAATAATTTCTTCTATAAGACGTAGATCTATTTCTGTATCTGAAGAATAATGGAACTGTGTGTATATAACATAATCTTATTAGAATTAATTAAATATATTTAGTCTATGGATGATGCATAGTAGTCGCAAGCTAAGCTTGATATTAAATAGCTATGGTACCATTAATTTCTTAATAATAAAATGCAACTCCCATTTAGGATGAGAAAAAACAAATATAAATACATTCTCGAATCTCAAAAAAACAACTAAAGTTAAGCAAACTCTTATAAATTCATACGCAGAATGATATTCTTGGAAAACCCTCTAATTGGAGTGACATTTTTGTTCTTCTGTCAAAGCACCGAGAATTCTCTTGAGGTGCTTGTTGTAGACGAAGGGTCGCTCCAGGTTAACCAGGTGACCAGCCTTCTCTATTGCCAGTAAGGTTGCTTTCTCTCCCACCTGCCTGCATTATCGTTATAGTACTTGTTGTCATTTATTGTGTAGTCGATAAAGGTAACTAAAATCTTAAATTATTTCCCAAGTTGTATACGTGTATATTTTATGATGAGTTGAATGACTACTCAACCACCTTATGGTTATGGACTTTAATTTCGAAATACCAAATCAAGAAGACGTGTTTAAAAAAATACATTCAAATCAACGAAATCTTAAGCCAGTTAGGCTTTAATCAAAATCTTAAGCCAGTTAGGCTTTAGTCAATAATTTATGCTGTTGGAGTCTCACACTGATTAGGCACGTTCAAGTCTACTGATTTATCATACTGACTAGGCACGTTCAAGTCTACTGATTTATAAGAGGGATAATCCTCTCATTCAACAAGATTTTATTGGATGAGGAGTCAGATCTACCTCAAATTCTATCATGATATTAGAGTCCAAGTTCAGTTAAGTTGAGTGCTTGACCGACGGGTGAGGAGTTAGAGTCGACAACTACCTCTAATAACAGGTATGACCCAATATATGGGCTTGACCGTGAGGGAAAGTGTTAGAGTCCCACACCGACTAAACACGCTTAAGCCTCTTGGTTAATAAGAGGGGATAATCCTCTTATCCAACAAGTTCTTATTGGGTGAGGAGTTAGGCCACCTCAAATTCTTTCATATGTATTAAGATGAAGTTAACTCACTCTTTCAAGTTCCGGGCTGTTTCCATATCGAAAATCAGATCACTTTCACCCCACAAGAGATATATCTTCTGCAAAAATTTAAACCAATATATAGTAATTAGATAACATATACAAGAAAATAGTCTGTAGAAGATGCAGAATTCATTACCTGTGGGTAATGAGGAATGGAGAATTTCTTATCACTTATCACCAACGCCTCTAGAAGTTCAGTTTGCTCCTTCCTGTGATCAAACATGACCTGCCCACGTAGTGGAAAATATAAATGGCAGTATTTAGATACCTCTTGAACCTCAATAGATCTTCATCTTTTATGAATGAAACTAAACGATATATTTACCTCCAAAATGTCTTCGCTAATGAATTTAGGCACTCTCGGCAAGTTGTAGCTTCCGATGTCAAAGAGGGTCCTTAAACCCTCGACTGTATTTGGAAGCAAAAACTCTGCCCAAGAAGAGAACCCGATTCTCTGAAGCGCGGCATTGCTTACAGACTCAGTCAGCGCCATGACTGAGCAACTCATCACCATCGACTCAACCAAGTCCGGATACATTTCAGCCATTTTGAACCCAACCATCCCACCGTAGCTGACTCCAACAAGAGTGCACTTCTCCACTCCGAGCTTCCTCAGCCCTTCAGCCATACACTCACTCTGAAACTCCACCGTCCGCTCAGGTCGGTCAGTAACTGAACCGCCGAAGAAGAGAAAATCCGGAACGTAGACTGCATAGTTTTTGGCCAAGGCGAACACCTGGAATTGCCAGTTTAGAATGCCTTCCATGTCAAATCCATGAAGAAACACCACGGCAGGCTTGTTTGTTTTGTTCTTCGTCTTCTTAGTCGTTTCAGTTGGAACCCAGAAGTTCAAGACCGTCCCTGGTTCGATCTCGACGGCTTGGGTTGTCATCCCAACTAGCTTCAGTACACCATGTAACAAGGGCTTGTAAATGGAGAAAAAGTTGACCATCTCTCTGTCTTCTTCGCACTTCTAATTAATTTCTAGAGAGAAGATTTATGAGAAAGCTCAGATTCTATAATCTATATATATAGTGACGAAAAGGAATGTGAAACTCTGATAAAAATCTATGAAACATATAGCTCAACTGCTCAAGAAATCTCCTACGTTGCTTCGGTCTGAGGTCAAACATTCTATGTGAGGTCAGCTAAATTGGCCCTTAGGATTAGAATAAATAAACCATTTTGATAAGATCAATTAGGTTAAAAGTAAAAGTCAAATCAAAATAAAATTCAAATCGAAATTCCAATTATAATTTTGTTGAATGAAGGTGTAGGGGTTGACGGAATTTTTTATTCGTTAGAGAGTGGGAAAATATGATGCTGGTTTTGACTCACTTGATTAGTTGGGAGATCAATGGGCGGCCAAGCCAAACATGAATTATGTAAGAAGCAAGTTGTATTTGTCAAGTATCATTAACTTGGTCAATTTGGTAGACCGTTATAACACGCCGCTAATTTGGTAAGGAGTTAGGGTCAGTTTGATTCATTATTCTGATAATTTTTAGAATAATATTTTGAAAAAAATTAAACCGGACGGGTATTACAATATAGGATTTGAAAATTAACAAAAATACCTCATATGTTTGTTTATTTACTAAACACCCTTATAATAAAATCTTAAAAGTTAATAAAAATAACCCCAACCCACCCATTGATTATGGACAGCCAGCCACCACCGCCAGAGGGTGGTTGAAGTCACTGTATCAGCACATATCCGACTGGATCTTACCAGTCGTGTGCTGATATGGCATTTTCCGGGGCTAAGGCCAACGGCCAATTCTTTGGCCATAGATCTAGCATTTTTCGGTCAAATCCACCATGGATCTTGCCGAAAAAGGCTAGATTGGAGCACTACCGGGCAGATTCAGCCGGTAGTGCACCATTATACCAGATTTCGGCCACCTTTCGGCAATGGTGGCCGAAATCTAGTAAATGTGGGTTGCTGGGGTGTTTTTTGTAATTTCTTAAAAAAAAAAATTGGGGGTATTTAGTTAAATTAATAAATTTAAGGGGTTCAGAAGAAGTTGAATAATATAGAATAATATTGTGAGAATATGTCAATTTTACTGTTTAACTTTATTGGGAATACTAATAATAGCATTCCCAAGAGTGTAAAAAACGGACCCTTAGCTTTTGAGGGTTAAGTTTTACCCAAAAACTCTATTATAATACCAAAGTCATTGGCGATGATAGATTTGGACCAAGGTCATTCATGTCAAGCGTGAGAAAGGGTGTTAGAAATTGTATTTGTTTCATATCGTCAATTTGGTAGGTTGTTATGTATATATACGTGGTTAGACTCCCTCTACATAAGAGTTAGTTTTTAAAAATAAGTTATATCCACTCACATTGCCAATTTAATATATATATATATATATGGAGCTTGAGTTCTACCCAATCCACTTTATAAAATTACAAGAAAAAAAAAACATTATTAGTGGGTGGTTTAGGGCAGCTAGTTTTCATATGCTAAATCATTCCAAATTCCTTGTCTTCATCGATATTATTCTTAAAAAAACAAAAATTTAACGGATCTAAATTCAAAATTGAACTTCTCCACTCGTATTAAAAAAATGATGTCTATAAGGAAATTTGATTATCATAAAGTTGAACATCTTAACTGCGATTCAATTTATCTAATAATTTTGCAATATTTGTCTTGTACTGGATTATATAAATAAAACAAAACCATTTACGAGATTCCTATGAATTAATTCCTCATTGGATTTTGTAGCTCAAGTTTTTTTATGACAGAAGTGTTTAAGCCAGTTTGTGCGTACTTCAACTAATCTTTGAGATACATTAAACACCCTACAAACCTGATATTCCAAGTAAACGAGACTCATTGAACACCCTACAAGCCTAATATTTTATGTAAGTCACAAATGTTGTTAGTGGCCTCAACGTGGTTTAAAGTTTAAACTCAAAAAATTAATGAAAATAATATATAGAAAAATAAATAAATAAAAATCATATCGTTCAACTCTGAATTAAGAATCAGATATGGACGATTGGTAGGTTGATAGAATGTTCAAGGGTATATATTTTGAATATCTTAAATTCTTAATTAATGATTATTTAACTTTGATAATCGCTATAAAAACAAAAACACAGCTGGTGACCGGTTGTAAGTGTTGGTCGTCGGCCGCCTTGCGATGAAATACAATTTCCGGTCAACAGTCTCGTTGGGAGGCCCAAGCAAGCAGCCAAGTGAAGTAGCTCAACAATTAAGAAACAAATTCATGACCCCATTAATTGCTCCCTTAATCATGCTTAAACATAGCCTTTGTATTTAATTAATAAAGCGTTATCTGGACTAAATTGTCCTATAATATAATCGAGATTTTATGAGTAATACTATACTAACGAACACCTTTCACTAACTCTCTTACAAACATGACATGTCAGCTCGCAATTGGTCATCTCACATGAGTCCTACCTGACAAAGTCAATTGCGAGCTGTCACGTCACATTTGTAAGAAGTGTTTGTCATACCATCTTTATTCAGTTTTTATTAAGAGTAAACGACTTTTTCTCACCCAAAAAGTTTCAAAATACCACTTTCTCACCCAAAATTTATATTCTGACCAATCGTCAGTCGATTTTGACATATTTGCAGCTTCAAACTACCATCATTCTCTTCCTTGATCATCACTCACCAAAACTCTTCAAACTTTGCTTCCGTCAATCCTATCAATAGCCAGCAACCGAGCGATTTGTGAAATGCATAGCCGCCCCTCCTAAGTCAGATTCAACCAATTTCGATCACTAAAATCTAACATACCATCATCAAAAGACTCACCGATATCTTCTCTTCAAAATTCACAACAGGCTGGATGGAGTTTGCTTTCCATTGACTATCGAATCGGAAAGTGTATTCTAGATAGTAAACATAATATAAATTTTGGATGAGAAAAATGGTATTTTAAAATTTTTAGGATGGGAAGGTGTCATTAATTAAGGCAAACCTTAGGGTTGAAAAAGTCGTCTCTTTCATTGAAAGGTAAACATATTCTCTATGTTAGGTGCCCTGTTCTCCCCTGTTCTCTCTGTGTCACATCATATGTATATGATTTACATTTCCAATACAAGTAACCCCATCTCAAGCAACATGAATATATGATTTCTGAAATCAAGGCACATATATGTTTTGTATAATCAAGAAACACATCTCATCATATGAAATTCGTGAAAAATATTTCAATCACAAATTTTATTTCTCAACTTTATTTCATTAAAATTCACTTAACCCAATTTTCAATGGCAGATTAAACGTGTCAACAACACTATCATAATTCCTACTTGTAGATGAATCCATGGCATTGTCAAATATAATCTTCAAAATCTATTGCTATAATGACTTCTTGACTAAAAGATTCGTTAAAGTCAAAACACTCATGAATTCGGGTTTTTTTTTTTTTTTTTTTTTTTTTAACTAGATATCCAAACTAGTTTATACGTATCTCAACTACTCTCCAAGATTCATTGAACAACTTACAGAATCCAATAAACATAAATGTGATAAGTGATCACTTTGTGTAACTCGAACACAAAAATCTCTAAATAACCCAGAGTCTTGCCATCCAACCACAAATTAAGTGATTCCCATGAATTGGGTTTTCTAATTTCAGTCGAGTAATGCTAGATTCACAACTCAATCTCACAACCCCCGACATGATAACTCGTTATTGGTCAACTTACAAAATAGATACCACCTACTTGCATGGATCTCGCCGATCCATCTGCGAGCTAACTAGTGACAAGTTATCACGTCGAGAGTTGTAAGAAAAGATTATGGACAGAAGTATTTGTTTGCTTAAGCAACTAAATCCAAATGATTTCAAGCCCATTAGTTTAAACAGAAGCAGCAAAATTATTTCACAAGTAAACTACAATACACAAAGCAGAATCACATGGTAACAACACAAGTGTACAGATCTACATATTTATAAATGACAACAATGGTTTCTTATGCCAGACTCTACCCAGTTAGAACACACCAAAAAACATCCCATAATTGGGTCGATACAGATACAGATCTGGGAAAAGAAGTAGCCCTCAACAAGCTATAGTGAAATAAGGTTAAGGACGATCTGGATAATTCATAGTTGAAAGCGAAGTTCTTGCTTCTAGTTGAAGACATTCACAAAGAGCAATCTTGGTCCACAACAGATGGTAGAATGCATACAAACATCATAAACTGGAAGGATTCATATTGGAAGTTGAAGAACAAACAAATATCAAGTCTTTATGACAAGAAAAACTAATGAGAAGCTAATGATAACTTCGAGAATTCTGTAAAGTATGGGGCCACACATCTAGAATAAAGAAAAGCCACTTTCGGTAAGTTGGGCACCAGATAGGACATTATCTCATGGCAAGCCAATTCTCATGGAAAAAAGTTTGGCCTGGACAGAAACCGCTTGAGATGGATGCCTCATGCCAATAATGTTGATGAAAGCAACTTCAAAACAGTAAGTTATGAGACTATAGAAGCTAAAACATTGGATGTATCAATAGAAACCATGTAATTGAGGATAAAGTAAAAGCAGATGCCAGAGTAAAATAAAGATAATGAAATTCCAATAGAGAGCATACTTTACAGGGACTTAATACTGCCTTAAAACATGACTATATACAAAGTTTTAGAAAGATAAGAAGAATAAATTCATCTACATTAGCATTTTAAGTACAAGCACTTCCATTCAGCATAAATATTATCAAAGCATCAAAGTACAAGAACCCAGGTTCATAACCAAGAGACTCAAGCAAACTATAGAAGTGGACATTATGACTTTGAAGACCAGATAGCACATGAAGTGACCCAAAAAAATTAGAAACAATGACCCCAAAAAAAGAAAATTCGGAAGGTAACAACAGAAGACACAATAATAACTTAGTTAATCTGTCAAGATACGCTTCTCTATATGAAGATTCTCTAACTGAATTGTGGTTTGAGCTATAGAACT